TTCACTATTTAATGTTACTACATGTCCATCACAAATTTCTAACGCTTTTTCTAAAGTAGATTCTTTTTCAAAGACTATGTATGCTGCTTTAAATCCCCTTGGAGTTGTAAAATAAACTTTAGACACAATTCCACACAAATTATTGAATACAACTTTTAAAATTTTATGTGTAATATAGGGAGGAATATTTAACATAAATAGTGTTCTTCCTTTGGGATATTTCGAGTCTTGGTTTCTAATTGAATGCTCTTTAAAAAATAGTTGATGTTTGTCAATAGTTTCTTCGTCAAATTGAAGCCATAGTGCTACAAATTGAATAATTTAAATAAAAACTTATTTAAATAAATAAATTGATTGTTACATTCAACAAAATATTGTATATTTACTTTTAAAACCCTTAAGGCTTTCGTTTTTACTTTTCATGATTTATAACCTCTATTCTAATTAATAACAAAAATTAAGTTTTATACTAATAAATTAATCTTAAACTATGAATTCTTTTTATGATACGTAACATAAAAAGTTACAAATAGTAAAAACTTTTTTATATTCAATACGATTTATCACTATATTGTAAAATACAAAACACGTATTACATTTCTTCTTACATGCATTTAGGCTAAGCAGTGACATTACAGAAAACATGAACAGAAGCATAAAATTAATTTAGAACATCCAGCAAATAAATTTCTTTATCATCATGCAATTATATATATATTTTTTAATAATAATTAGAAAATTTATATTAAAACGAGACATTAATGTTTAATTATAAAAAATCAAGAAATTGATTCGTACATAATAAATGACTAAACAATAGTTATTTTTTATTCATATATATTGTTTGTTAATAGACTTATATAATTGTATAAATTGTATAATGTATAATTATACTTTTTTCTAGATAAAAATAATTTCAATAACATAATTTAAATATTCTACAAAATTTTCAATATTTTTTGCTTTAGTCAAACGCGTGTATATATATATATTATTTTATTATATATGTATATATTATTATCATTATTATGTCACTAAAAATAAAGGTCAAGATTATGAAAAGTATGTATTGAACAACAAAACGATTCTAAAGCTTTGAATGAGAATTCATTCTGAAGCTTTAAATTACGATTCAAAAATATGAAATTTATATTTAACATTTTTTCCATTCAATACTATTTATTTGAAATATTTATTATTACAATATAAATCAATACACTAATTAAAAATGCATACATAGCAGCAGGGAAATATTGATCATGAGAAAAACAGCAGGTAGCAGGTAGCCGGTAACATGTTACAGATGCATACTTGTATAGATATTTTAGTTCAGGAAAATTATACGGTCGTGTGTCAACTATGTTTAAGATATTGTCATTCTTTTTTATAATATTTAAATTTTTATTAATATGCTCAGAGACCAAAATTCTTCAAGGACATCTTGTAACACGTGAAGTACTAAACATTCTTTTTTAACTTTTTTTACTTTTTATTTTTTACTGTCTACTTTGATACGATAATATTAATGTTTAATTTAAAACAATAATATGTAAAAGTAAAATTAATAAAAATACACTATTTCTGAAAATATATATTAATTTCAATATATTAAACTTTAATATCAATTAAGTAAGAATAGTAAATATAAATCGTATTATTACATTGTATACAATACTTCTATATGGTGTATCATTCAATATCATTAATTATAAAGAATTGTATCTAATGTTTCACAATTCATTAATTTAAATATTTTTTTCAGTCTGTACTGTAATATTTTTCAGAATTGGGCATTTCTAGCAAGATTTTGTTTCTTAACTAAACAAGGCACATTTCGGTATGAATTCGAATTGGGAGGTAATGAACAAAATTTAAAGATATTGTTATATTATGACGCCCCTAATCAATGGCCAAGCGTTTATCCTTCGAATAAGACATGTATGGAAAAAGAAGCTATACTTTGGGATGGAATTGGTCAAATAGTACCATTATCTACGTCTATATCTAAAGAATCAGGATGCGTCGAAAAAGAAGACGCAATAATACGATGCTCTAATTATCGAAGATTTCAATCATCTCGTCCGAGATGGTGGTTTATCGCATTAGCAGATTGTTCCTCAAAAACTGGATTAAACATTTCGTATTGGATATCGTTAACAAATGCGCCGCATGGCCACTTTTGGAAAGAACACTTTTCGGCAGATGAATTCTGCAAGTAACATTATATTATATTGATTAAAGTTACTTAATGCTGTTTAATTAAATCTATTTTTGATTTCAGATATATTACCAGAACTAATAACAATTGCTTGTATTTATGTGATACTTGTAATATTAAGTTTTTACGTAGCCATACAATTAAGGGCAAGAAGACTATTACATGCATCTTACAAAATATTTATGGCTTCACTATTTTGTCAATTAGTAGGAATGTTATTCGAGATTTATAGTTATATAAATCTTGGTTTAAGAGGGATACAAATAGAAAACGCTTTTTTATTTGGTCAATTATTAGAAGCATGTTCAGATATTTTGTATACTGTACTTATGTTATTATTGGCTCTTGGTTATACAGTAACTAAAAGTATTTTAAAACCTAGACAAATTCGATGGCTTATATGTTTTATATGCCTAATTTCTTTCTGTCAGTTTTCATTGTATATTTATCAATTTGATGTCTTTGATCCTGGATTAGTATTGTACATTTATGAGTCACCACCAGGTTATGGATTAATAATATTGAAATTGATTGCATGGATTATATTTTCTCTTCAATGTTTTAAAACTGTTACAAAAATGTCAACAAAACTTCATTTTTATGGTTCATTATTTTCATTGGGATCAGCATGGTTTTTATGTCATCCATTAACGGTATATAAAAAAGTACAGTAGTGTATATTATGTTATTATACAGTAATATAAAATGTTATATAACAAAATATTTATATAGATTTATAAAATCTCTTACAATGTATAAAATGATATTTATAATTTTTTAGGTACTCTGCATCACTTTATTAGTAGACGAGTGGGTACGAGAAAGTGTTGCTAAGGGATGTTTATTATGGACTACTTTTATGGGACACATAATATTTTTATTTATCACTAGACCATCTATGGCTAACAAACGTTTTCCATTTCATATTAGAACATGTCAAATCATGCCTATTGGTGGTGAAGGACAAGATCACAGTTATGAACCTCATATTAGAACAACAAGTTCTGCATTTACTATTTCACGTTCAATACCATCTACTTTGCAATATTAATAATAACCATACTACAAAATTATGTAATCATAACTGTACAATTTTACTTTTATTACTTCTTTTAATGTTCTTAATTACGATATTATGTTTAATAATTAGTTGACAATGATAAATACAATATTAATATTTTCAACTAATATGATATTTTTTACAAAAGTATTTACAATAATCAATTTACATAATGTTTTTTATATCACATATAGATTTTATTAGACAATTACAATTATAACTAATAATCATTAGTCACACGAACTATCTTTCCAACCATCTCTCCACCTCTGATTAACTAATTTACAATCAAACTCAGGTTTCCCAAGTTTTTTGTTTACTTCGTTATGTATCATGCAAAGCCACTGGCTCAATTGTGATTGTGAATTAGTTTGTGGTGGAGTTCTTTTCAATTGTTCCTGTAAATCTTCTGCACAAACATAACAAGGATAAAACTTTGAAAATGTGTGAAAAAACTTTGTCATATCCGATTTTTGTTCATCAGTCGGATTGTCAGGATAATATGCTGCCATGCTATGTAAAAACGACCATGTTCTTGAACCTAATTCATCTTTATCTAATGGACAATCGTCGCGTTTAACTTTATTTACAGGTGAATTTTTCTTCTCCGTTTTCTCAGATTCCTGACATAATAAAATGTATAATGTGAGAGTAAATAATTTGTTTCACAACATAAGCTTAATACTATTTCTCACATTTTAGAAACTAATCAATATTTATCATCAATTTTTATAATGATGTAATACTTTCGAATGTGTAATCATAAAATGTTTCTTATTATTAAAAAAAAAATTGGTTTGTGTTTTGTATACAGTTCTATATAAAGAAAAAAACTCCTTGCTTATACCTTTTCAGATTCAAAAGCCTTTTTTTGACTTTTTGCCCACGATTTAAAATCCATGCATGCACGACAAGGCTTTTCGGGAGACATTCTGTTATTAAAATCGTAGTATACATTAAAATAATCAACAATATTTTCACGTGGTGGATAACCTCTCTCATGAAATTATAATTCGCGCACCTATTACGTTGGAAAAATTAACATATAAATATTTCACATTGCGCATCTCAAATTTGAATGTAATGACACATGTCAATCGTAATTTTAATTCAGAATAATTCCTTTACTAGTTAATTTTTTTTTTAATATCTACTGATATATATATATCTATATACTTATCTACTGATATATATATATCTATATACCTTTACATGACTTGCGACTCATTTCAGATAAGAAATAGAATGTAATAATAACTTTATATATGTATATTACGAAACAAAAGATGCAGATAGGAAAGTTTAAAATATACACCCTTCCTATATCCACGTTGAGTTCTTGAGTGATGGAAAAGAAGAAAAAATTGCGTACCGTACAACTAACCTGACCCGATCTGCGGACAGCGAGTGACAAATGTTAAGTGCAGTTTTGACTGCACTGCAAATGATACGATTGTCGGTAAAGTTGATCTTCTACATAGATGATGGCGAGTCGTAAAAAAAGTAATGATTCGTCTCGATCCGTATCAAAAAATGCGAGGCGTCATGTCGGAGAGGTCATGTTTTCATCATCTTCATCCTCCGAAGAAGAGGTAACAACGGGATGTCGGAGTTGTAGAAATACGTCGAAAGAGTACTTCGCTAGAAATCGTAGTGAAACAGAGACTCAAGCAGGTTAGATTTAACCTGATATTTGTCAAGAAATGAAGCTAATAACTAGTTTAATGTTTGTTGTTTTTTATTATTCACAGGGCAAAATACATCACGAACTGAAGAAAATCCTTTTAGCTTTAAACATTTCTTAAAAAATGGTTCACAGATAAATTATCAGAATGCTGGAGCACGTCCAAAAGTTTATTCATCTCCTACACAATATAATTTAGAAAAGAGTTCTGCTGTTTATTCTCGTAATCCAACAGAATTACCAGACTTCGTACAAGATCATTTGGTTATAGAACAATATTATCTAAATCATGAACCAAAACAACAGACTATTTCGGATGTTGATAATCTTCCTGATTTTGCACTGAACAGTGTGGAACAAAGACAAACTCGACTTAGAAATGAATCAAAAAAGAGCGAATCTAGTGCTTCGTGTGATCTTTCTTTTGATTTAACTGGAAATTTGGACAAAACAATACCTCAAAGAAATCAATCCATACCAAATACAAGTTGTTCAGGTCATATGACTTTACCTGCTTTTGTTAGATCTAATGTAGGATCTACTGAAAGTCCAGAACCACTAGGTATTTATAAAATGATATATTATTAATTATAGTATAGTATTTATGTAAATTGTTTATTCATGATATTTTATTATAGGATTTCCATTAGATTTACCAATATCTACAGTTGACCCTGATCCTGAGTCAAATGTTGTTATAAGAGAATGTTCTCACTCAGGAACAAGTGAAGCAAATGTTTCCAAATCTTTGCCAGATTTTTTAAATGATGGTCCTATTCATAATAGGACAACATTATCAACAGAATCTGGATCTATTCCAAATAGTGTAGAGTCTACAGAGAGAAGGGTGTGAATAATATTGAATTTTAAATTATGATATATTTTTTATATTCTTATAAAGTATGGTATTCTTTTTTTTTAGTTACTACAGGAAAATGAAAGATTACGACAGGAATTAGAATTAGCTCAAAAAGAAATCAGTGAGAAATCAGAAAAGTATATTTTCAAGACTTTTTTATTTATAGTAATAGAATGTTCTCCAGTTTATTTATACAAGTTTATTACAGGATTCAATTATTAGAATCAGAATTGACATCCAGAAAAGAAGTGGATCATGAAGAAACAATCCATCTTGAAAAAGCAATGGAACAAGTTGAAGATAATCTAAAACGTAGTGCAGTGAGTACAAAAATGCCTTGTATATTTAATTAATATCCATAATGTTTCTTTTTTTGCAGAGAAGAGCAGCAAATGCAGAAAGTACTATCTCATCGTTGAAAAAAGAGATTAAATCTTTAACGGTTGGTATACATTGTCATCTCTTTTTATATGTATCACAATATATTTGATTATTAAATAAGAAATATAATATTAATGCAGGCAGAGATATCATTACTCCGTCTGGAAAATAAAGAACTTAGAGCTGGAATTGCAGTAGGAACTAGAAATGAATATGGTTCTTCAAACACAGACCAGACAGTAAAAAGGCTAGCAGGTGATTTGAGACATGCTGCTTCATCAGCAGAAGTGTCTTTAAGGTAAAAAGTTATATTTCAGCTATATTTCTAAATTAAGTAATTCAAATAATAATATATATTGGAACCGTTATAGACAATTAATGTCTGGTGTGGACAATTTAAGAGTACTAGCTTCAGCACTTGAGAATGTGGATAGAATAGAAGACCGGACCAAAGATTTTCTACCAGATTTTGATGAAGATAATGCTGCTGGTCCTGCACTTTAATACATTCTTGTATACCCCTTTTTCTGCATACTACCTTTGTTTCACTTCTATGACATGTATCCCAACCTGTGCTAATAAGTTCCTTAAACTCACGCAATTGCGTTGAGTATCCATTTTGGAGTCGATTAGTGATTTGATTCGATTAAAGAGCACGATATTCATATCATGTTTGTTATACCTTTACCTGTTAATAATAGCTCTTGAATTTCGACTTGCATAACAGTTCTAGGTGTACAATCATATATCGTCCCTGCTTGGCAAAGCATGACTTTTTAAGTGTAATTTTAAACCTTAACAGCAAACATGGATTAAACAATAGCTTAATCGTGATCTATCACGATGCGGCTCCGAGCAAAAAAAAAAGAACTAAAGATTTTAACTTTTATATGTACGTTTTGACGTGAAACCACAACGCGAAGCATTGGTTGGGATTCAATATATAATTCCAACGCAATTGTTAAAAGAAAAACAATATTTTAATAGTTATTGTAACAATGTTACGTGTACAGTTCAAATTACATGTTCTATTTCTTTGTAAATGTTGAAACCATCAGTTAAACAATTACACTTGAACCAGACAAGATTCTTCACATATTTTTCTATTTAAGGGGGTATATGACTCTTGAGTCTCAGAAATGTTAATCTCCTTTCAAAGGTTGTAATTATACGATTTCACAAATGTTTTTCTAAGCAATGTATAATAACAATACATACATGTGTATATATATATACATATATATATATACACACACACACACACACACATATATATCTAAATTTTTAAAAATTATCTTTGTATGTGACACATGAACAATTGCAAATATTTCAATTTAAAAATTATAATTTTGATTACATATATTAAAAAATTAATTAAGTTAAAAACTTCAAAACCATATATTGTATTATAATATATATTTTATCTTTATAATACATGTCATAAAATCATCTTAAAATTTATGGATCATTTATAAGTGAAAATTATTTATACACATTTATATTTTATATTTATAGTTTATTTCGAAATGTAATAGTTTGTACCTGTTATATGGCTTCAAATTTATTAATTCAATTTATTTGTAATATTACTTGAAGTCACATTATATCTCAGTTAGAAAAAAAGTTTCAAGGCTTATTTGCCCCCTTAAAATTTAAATTCAATATTAATAATAGTTTTCATCGTGCAAGTTTTAAATTAATAATTTTAATAATTACATGTAAATTAATAATTTTAATAGTTATATGTAGTACAGAATTACATTGCCTGCAATGTGTATGTTCTTATTCTGGAAATAATATACATTTTAAGATTGTGGCAGTGTATACTGTATAACACAGTAAATTAAAAATATTTAAAGATTCTTTTTAAAAGTATGCAGTTCTTGATCGATACATGTAATGTTCTATCAACAAATTGCACATATACAAGAATTTAAATAATTTAATTTATAATAAAATATAAAAAATATCAAAATATGAAATAACAATACAGAAAAATAATCTTATTTGCAATGTCAAATACAAATTATTTTCGATTTAAACTTAAAATAGTTTTCCTAAGTATCAATTGTTATACTGCCATATGTACAAAGATTGAATATTTTATTATTGGAGGCCTTCAAAAATACTAAGTAAATCAGTTTGTGTTTCAGTGTGACTAGTTTGAGTACTCAACCAGGAACGACATGCACCTATTGAAATATTGCAACCTGTTTCACATATCAAGGATTTTGTCTGCGTTTCAGCAGAGACAGTAGTGTCCTCGAGTTGAGTCCAAGGTGTTTGTGTTTGAATGTTAGATAATCCTAGATCAGTCGGTAGTATTTCGTTACATGTTTGTGTGCATGTATTACTATATAATAGCTGTTCCATGTTATCAAGATTATTTGTAGTTTGTGTTTCAATGGTAGAACTTAGAGCGAATGATCTGGTTAAAGGATCTGAATCAAAAAATGATTGTGAATAAGCTTGTTCAGTTTGAGTTTCTATACTGCTAAATTTATCATCAAAAGTTTTATCTGTAAGCATGGGATCTGATCGTGACATGCTATTTGAGGATACAAAGGAATATCCTTCAACAACGGTCGACGTTTCTTCAACATAAGGTAAAGTCATCAAAGCAACTGTACTCTTTGGAGTACATTGTATTAATGAATTTGTACTATGGTCATAAAATGTTTCAAACTCTGTCTGAGTAACATTATCATTGAGAGCTTCAAACATGTCTTTTTCAGGTATTGTTTGAGTGCCTGATGTACTTTTATCTTCCCAAAAATCTTGTAATCCATCATCATGACGAAGTGGTAATGGACTACTAGGAAATAAATTTGAGGCTGTAAAGTTGCCAAGATTAAGGTCTTCCTTTAACAGTGTATAATCAGAATTTTGAGATACAGAATTTTTTCCATCTTTCTGAATCTTTAGCGAATTCTTAAATGTCTGTGAAGCTTGCGTTTGTGTTTTCATAGACATTACATTTTGTTTAATTCTTTGAGAGACATTTGTCTGTGTTTGTTTAGATATTCCACGCTTTCCATTATTGTTAACGTACTTTAATGGACTTGATATTCTTTTGTTCTTTTTGTATTCCTCAGTTTGTATACCAATATCTGATGTAAGTTTCTGCGTGGAATCATTATTACGATTAGATATTCTATTTTCATTTTGATTTGTTGGTAGTATTGTAACTAGTTTATTTATTTCAGTTTGACTAGTTGATAAAATCAATCTCATTGTCTTAGAATTTGTGCGTCTATAAAAATGTTTAAGATAAAAATTAATTATATTGTATTCAAATATGTCAAATAATAGAACATTAAAATTATTTGTCTTTCATGATCAGCTTACCTCAAGGAATTTTTATATTTATCATTTATTGTGTGTAAAGCTCGTTTTGCATGTGTGAGCAAGGCTTCATAGGATGTATAACTTTTTGAACAAGAACATGCAAATTCAATTCCACATATTCTCATATGACCTTCTTTCGCTGATTCAGTAGAGAAACTTTTTTCACAACGAGTACATGCGTATGTTTTTTTTGCATGTACTTTAAGATAATGCTAGATATGTATTGGAATATTGAAACTTCAATCAATTTCATAAAAAAATATTCTTTTTACGATAATAACACTAACCTGTTTAAGATATTTCATAGTACTAAAATGCCTTTCGGCTTTCGGAGCGTAAATACAAGATTCTACTGGGCAATGATATTGTACATTTTCTTTTATTGTTTTATCTAAATTTTTACGTTGATGTACTTTAAGATCGTGTAACCGATACCTCGGTCCATTTTTAAATACGAGCCCGCATTTATCACACTTTACATTATTTGTTATGACACTAAGTTCCTCCGGTGATGGACAAATAGTTTTAATACATTTCGAGACATTTTCTACCGGTTTTATGCTTTCCATTAGAGGTTATTTTCTCGCAGCACTTAACATGTATACAAACTACCGTCATTTAGGTGACTATGGCTGGTTCAATCAATCTAAAGATACATTTGTTTATATTTTTTCCAATGCATCGTATGTTTTATCAAATCGTTATTAAAATTTTTATAAAATTCAAATTTTACTAATTAATTCTTTCTATTTTGAAACTGTAATATATACATAATATACTAACGATAATAAATTATAAGCAGTTAATAAGTATGTAGAAATATCATCAGACTTGAATGTAACATTATTTTGACATGTTTCACTATCAATTTCAATGTGTTAAAACATTTAGTAAACTGACAAATTTAATTATGGTAAAATTATATAAAATTAATTATATAATATTTAAACGTTGATATTTACAGATCATAATTATATTGTTTCAAATAATTATATTATTTGAAGATATTGTAGGTCAATATTTTATTTTTATAATCTTTTGATAATTCGGTATTTAAATGGTGTTCAAATTCTTAAATTTATAATATGAATTGATTGATTGGGTAATAACATAGAGTATTATTTACACAAATTTACTATGTCTTGTAATATTTCAGTCAGATAATTTATATTGTACAGAATTCTGTATAACAGATTAAAAGAAAGCATGTTACAGCACCAATACAGCTGCCAATAAACTGCAATATGGTCCAATTAAATACAACTACACGCTATAATAATATAGCGCTTGCATTAATGTAATAACTGGGAAAATTAAATAATTAATGATTTTACTGTTTCTCTATTTTTTATTTTTCAATACTTTTATATTTTAAAATTTTTAAACAATTCAATCAATAAATCTTCGTCAATTACATTTAACATTATTTATTTATAGCAAATTATCATAAATTGTAATTAAATTTGTTTGAATGTCGTTGTTCAGATTCTTCAAAAAAAAAAACTAGGGAATGAGACAAAATACATTCAACCCCTTTTATCCTGCATACGCTTGATATCGATTTTTTAATTCACGTGAATAATGTTGAAAATATCTCTATATTTAACGTTAAAGATTGATTATACACTATGTTCCAAAAGTTTTATCTTATCTGTTA